AAAGGTTGCAAGGTCTTTATCAAGGATCTCGGAGCGTGGAAAACTATCACAAGGAGATGGAGATTTTGATGATTAGGGAAAATATTGTGGAGGATGAGGAGGTTACCATGGCTAGGTTTGTGAATGGTTTGAATAGGGAGATAGCTAATGTAGTGGAGTTATAAAATTATGTGGTGATGGAAGAGCTACTACATGTGGCTATGAAGGTAGAGAAACAAGTGAAGAGGAAGGGGACAGTTAGGTATTCATCGGGCTCTTCGGGTTCCAATACTTCATGAAAACCGAGGTGGGATAGCAAAGGTGATGGGGCTGTCCAAAAGGGAAGAGCTGAATTTCCAAAGAGTAGAGAGGAGAATACAACCAAGGCTCCAATCAAGGAGGGAGCCCAACCAACAAGGAATAGAGATATCCAATGCTTTAGGTGTTTGGGAATGGGGCACATCGCTTCTCAATGTTCAAACAAAAGGACAATGGTGGTACGTAATGGAAAGGTGGTGAGTGAAAGTGATTACGAAGACATGTCGGAATTGGAGGAAGTTATCTAAGAAGCAAAGACGGAGTATGCTGTAGGAGAGCTATTGGTCGCGAGGCGAGCTCTTAGTGCTCAAATCAAGGCGGATGACTTGGAGCAACAGCGTGAGAACATATTCCTCAAAAGGTGTCACGTCAACAATACGGTATGTAGTGTTATTATTGATGGGGGTAGTTGCACTAATGTAGCTAGCACCACACTTGTAGAAAAGCTAGGACTCACAATGTTAAAACATCCCAAACATTATAGATTGCAATGGTAAAACATCCCAAACCTTATATTGGTGATATTAAGGTGAACATGAGGGTCTTGATTAGTTTTTCTATTGGGAGTTACCAAGATGATGTTATGTGTGACATAGTTCCTATGCAAGTGGGGCATATATTATTGGGAAGACCATGGCAATACGATAAAAATGTGATACATGATGGGTACAAAAATAGGTACAACTTTAGGAAGGATGGGAAGGCCATTACTCTTACAGCTTTGACACCACAGCAAGTGTTTGATGATCAAATTAAATTAAAAGGTGAGGAGGAAAGGAGAGTGAAAGAAAGGGAACGTAAGAGAAAAAAATGTGAGGTGGCTAATGGAGAGGAAAATAGAGTGGAGCTACATGAGGGGAAAAACAATGAGTTTGAGAGAAAAGAAAGAGAGATTGAGAGAAAAGAAAGAAAGAAAGAGGGAAAAGAAAATGAGAGGAGAGAAAAAATGAGAGAAAACTTCTTTGCAAAAGGAAGTGACTTGAAGAGAGCTATAGTTGATAGGCAACCCAAGATTCTTTTGGTATATAAAAAATCACTCATCGGTCATGAGGAGCCTAACATATCCCCTCTAGTTTGGCTATTTCTTTGTTACAGGAATTTCAAGATGTTTTCCAGGAGGATGTGCCTAGTGGGTTACCACCCATTCGAGGCATTGAACACCAAATTGATTTTGTACTTGGACCTGTCATTCCAAACCAGCCAGCATATTGTAGTAATCCCGAGGAGACTTGTAACAACCCGAATTTTCAAATGTAAATCTTATAATTTAAGTTGTGTCGCTACGACTTCTCCACCAAATTTTAGAAATTATTTTA